TAGGACTTATGATATATAGTCTTACTACCCCTTACTGTACTTTTAAAGTGAGAGTGGGTTATAAAATAGCTAGGGCTATTGTCCTTCCCAATTTTGAGTCACAACTAAGATGTTTGTAAACTTTCAAAGACAAAATATGCTCTCTTACAATATAGTCGAATTAGTTTCTGTTGATATCATTAGGAAAGTAGCCATGAAATATCCTATTCATAGAAACAATGGATACCCCAAAATGCATATTTCCCTGTGTGAAGGTAAATTTCTATCAGAAACGCCTTCATTAATGTGTGTGGCCAATTCTTTGGGATTCATTTTCCCAATGCTATGAAGAAGGTTCTGGAATGTTCTGTGAATGCAATCGGGCATTCTACTTGGTTAACAATGACTAGATGACACTTCAAAGCATTCGGAAGTCTATTCTCAAGGGGAAAAGGGTCGAATTTCAGATGTTAGACTGACCCATCTTTGGAGTGGTTGGTCTGTTTAATGATAAGTTAAAGAGAAGTGCAGAATAGAAATAGGTGTGTCAAAGAGAACATTTTTAATATATCTCTTCTATCCATGTTTCCACAAATCACACCCGATGACTGGCTGGGCCTATACAAATGTGGTGTGTGAGACAGGTCCGTTTCAGTTGCCATTCACCTGTGTGTGATAAAACTGGCTCAGCAGCAGGAGCAGAGAGAATTCACAAGTCCATGAAGGAAGAAGAGCCACAAGTGGAGCATGTTCTTTCGAGATCCTTGCCTAGAACAGTGGAGACAGCAACAGCCATGTCCACACCAGAGGCAATAGAATAGAGGCGTCGCAGTGCTGAGACCGAAGACTATTATGAGACTGAAGCAAAGCCATGGGCAGGCTTCGTGGCCCACAAAACAAGGGAGAGGCCATGGGACTATGGAACTGAGAGGATGAGGACCAGAGAGATTGGATGCTGTCTGAAGAGAGGTACTAATATGAACCGAAGACTACTTGCTTACTGTTTATGATCCAGACTTCTGGTAACCTCTCCTAACAAGCCCCCATAGTTGTGTATTGTCTGTGAGTTCTGTGTAGCCACTGCAATGGATTATGGAGCCCAGAAGAGCAGGAAAGTGCCATGGGAGAAGGGATTATTGTCAGAATAGGGTAAGAGAAGGATGAGGGTGGAGGCATGTCTGACTTCTGCCTGTAACAGTCAGCCTGAGGCTCCTCAGGAGTTAAATTCTTTTCTTTTGTGTAGCCAGAGGAGGTCCGAGGTGGCCTCTGTGCCCTTTTTTTTTTTTTGCACTTGATCAGATTTAAATACACAAAAAATAATTGTGAAAGAGGTGTTTTCACCTCAGTCCAGAGGGATTCTGCCTCCTGGGACAATAACTCATTTCTGCATTGCTGGGGTCCTGGGTTTGGACACTTTTTGTCCATAATACGAATGTTGATGAGCCTATGGCTTTAACGTGTCTGATCTCATCAGAGTGATGATGAATGAGTAGGTGTGACAATGTCTCAAGACATTATTTATCTACTTATCTATTTATTTATATACACCTACTCCTCAACTGTTTCATTATCTGACATTACACATTTATGACAATCATTTAAAAAATCTATTATATAACTATTTTGCACATGACTTCCATATATCTGGCAATAGCAAATACCAGGGTAGAAAGCAAGAGTAACACTGATGGTAATGGTTAAAGTTACATGTTAACTTGTCTGGACCTTGAACTCAGTAATTTGGCAGTTATGTAATGATGTAATTTGGCAGTTATGTAATAATGCAATCATCCTCCATTTTGTGATCTACTTTGGATATTCTGCTTTTTTTGTGAATGCTACGGATTCATCCATAATGACTTGACCTAACTATATTGACAAGGAGGAGTGGGTGTATTGTGCGTAAGGAGCCCTGGCGACACAATGGTTCTGCTCTGCTAATTAAAAGGTTGGTAGTTTGAACCTACTTAGCTCCTGTACAGGTTATAGGTGACATGCTACTATAAAGATTACCTCGTAGAAAACCTTATGGGGCACTTTCACTCTGAGTCAAAATCAACTCAATAGTACAAAACAACACTAACAGCATAATGTTTATATATGTTATAGGTATTGTGTTAGTCTGGGTTGACTAGAGAAACAAATTCATTGATATGCTCATATGCTTTGTAAGAAATAATTTAAATACATTGCTTTGGGGAAAAAATCTAGTTTTTTTTATTCCCTCATATGTACATATAATACATATGTAATATATAAAGCTTATTTTTGAAGCACTGAGAATAAGTTGAACATTGTTTTCTTATGCTTAAATCAATGTGCATTTCCTGAAAATAAGGCCATTTTCTTACATGCAATAAAAATAATCAAAATTAGTTGTTTTATCACTTTTATAATATTATAATCTAATCCTCATTCCATATTCAAATTTCACCAATTGTCACAATAATATCCCTATTTCCCCCTCAGTCTGGAATCTAGTCTAGGAGCATACATTGCATGTAGTTGTCATATTATTTATTGATGTCCGTGAGTCAGACCACCAGGGACATATTTGTCCTCAGACAAATTCAGGTTTCGATATTTGTCATATTAGATCCTGGGAAAGGCAAATGTGACGTTTAGTGTGCCCTCCTGATCTTTGGTAATGTTTGATTCCCTGACTTCACTTTCCCACAACTCTTCGGAATCAACCATATGCTTACAGTTGGGACAAAGAATACCTGCTTATGAGTGTGTTTCTCCATTAGTGTCACCCTTGCTGCATATGAATCACTTTGAGCCCCCAGGATGTGACAGGGTGTAATGATGTCATTTGGCATGGTGGGCAGGCCTGTCTACAGGGGAGGAGTCAGGAGCCCAGTGATCAGTCCTTTCAATCTGAGTTTCCTGCCACCTGATTCACTGAACTTCTCATGGCTGACCTGCCTTTTGAGTCACTCTGGTCTGGTGGAAACTCTATGAACAACAATTCTGAGGTATCTGTGCTTAAGTCTCTCTCTCTCTGAGAAGCCACAGGGTAGGTTGCTCTCAAGTGGGGGAGAGTGGCCCTCTTGTGGCCGACAGTTATATCTGTTCTGGGAAGAGGAGATTGTGCAGACGCAGAATAGTAGAGCTGGAAGAAGACCCTAGAGATTCTTTAGCTCCAATCCATTACTTTAAAAACAGGCTAACTGTTCCAGACCACACTGGATTTGTTTCTGTAGACAATCTGGGATATACCAAAAATTATGGGAGATGGGGTTCCACTAGCCCTGCCCAGTCCAACTCAAGTTCACAGGTGCCATCGACCATAGCTACCTTAGGCACAACACAATGAAACACTGCGGGGTCCTGTGCTAACCTCACGATGATTCCCATGCTTGAGCTCATGATTGCAGCCACTGTAGCAGTCAATCTCGTTGAGGACCTTGCTCTTTCTGGACACCCTCTACTTTACCAAAAATGATGCTTCTCTTTAGGGACTGGTTACTCCTGATAACGTGTCCAAAATGTGTAACATGAACTCTCGCCATCCTCACCTTTAAGGAGTACTCTGGCTGTACTTCTTCCAAGACAGATCTGTGTGACCTGTTATTAGTCCACAGTACTATCTTAATATAGTCAGGCCAAAACGAAAGCTCCATGGAAAGATGTTGGTGGTATTACCTGCCCACAGGCCTGCTCCTGACTGACTTGTGGTGGTGACCTGTGGTGCAGGGAATTACTTAATTTGACCCTGTTAGCAATAGTCTTTGTAACTTCTACCAAATGACAGGGTGGGACCATGAAAATGAGGTACTTATGTCCCACCAATGGGATTGCGTATCTTGTTGATAATGTAAATAAGTTACATGACACCGTAACAATGGAGATCGCTGTTTTACTATCGGGCTTGTCAACTGGAGTCATATTCAACTTGATGACAGTGAGTGAGAATGGTTAATTTATTGTTTTCATCTCTTTGTTGGCTGCCTGAATGTATTTTTTGGTGAAATACCTGTTCTTATTGTCTTCCCACTTTTTAATTAGACAATTTGTTTTCTTGCTGCAGCATTCCATACATTTCAGAGATTAGTCCTTTGTCTGTGATACAGTTTAAAGTAAAAATAGGATTTTATGAATGGCAGAAAGGCATTTCAAAACAGAGGAACAAAGTCACAAGCCAACATGCCAGTGCTCTCCAACCTCCCAACTTGGGTTTGGGCTTGTGCCTAAAAACCACCAATGGGGTCTGCTTGGGGTACTTTCTGATGGGATAACATGTGCAAAGTGGTAGGTAGCAGGATCTTGATTGACTGGGAGGTGGCCTCTTTTTCAAAAGGGGCATCAGACAATAAGATATGGCTGATAACAAATTTTTAGTTTAAAAGTATAGTTTTCCAAGTACAAAATTTTTAAAAGGTGAAAAATCTTTTCATTAGGGATTTCTAAAAGAAATAACTGAACCTCTAAAATAAGATGTTTAACATGATGTCTGAACGCCTTAAATTGTCTCTATCTACTATTGGCCGTTCTAACCATAAGCCTGAAGCGAAATGTACAGAGCAAGATTAGGAGTTTGCTGTAGTTCTAGCTTTTTCTCCTGAAGTCAAGTTTTAGCAGAAATCATACAGAGAAGAGAAAAGAAAAGAAAGCAAAAAAAAAAAAAATCTAAAGGTCCGTTTAACAACATGGAATCACTTATGTCAAAGAGAGAAAAAAAATTCAAATAGAACTTTAGTCAGGCGCTTTAAATCGCGTCAAAGCCTGCATTTTAAAACACTCTTCCTGCATGCGCCTCTTTTGGCCTCCTGACCCTCCATTCAATGATGAAACCAGCAGCCTTTGGCATCCAGGGAACAAAAAGCTCTTTAACCAATTTAACCTTCCGACCCCAGAACTGCCATGGTCTTGCTAATCCGGCTCACAACAGCAGGTCCGTGCGGCGCTGAGCTCCACAGTCGTCGGGCTCTGGAACGTTCCAGCTGGGTGCGTATTTAGTTAGCACCATGGGACACGGTCCGGCGCTCGCTCGGAGCAGCATGTACCAGCGCAGCGCCATGCTCCAGACCCTGCGGGGGCAGCAGCCGTGCCCCCCGGAGCCCGACGGCCCGGCGGCCCTGCGGGACCTGGGCGAGCGGGTGGCCGCCTACGTGCACCGGGCCCGCGCGCTGGAGCGGCGCCAGGCGGGCCTCGGCCGGCAGCTGGACGCCTGGCGGGGCTGGCGGGACCTGGCCGGCCAGGAGGAGGCCCTGGCTCGGCAAATCGCGGACAACCGCCAACGCGCCCGAGACCTGGCAGCGGAGGGGGCCCGTCTGCAGCGCCAGGGTGCTGAGGCCCAGAGAACGCTGGCTGAGTTCCGCAGCAAGTAAGTGTTGAGGAGGGGGAAACTGAGGCAGGGCGCTTGCGGGGGCGCCGCGGGTCGGGGGCGCGATGGCACCAGAATTGCAGGGCCGCTGCTCATCTCCCTGAGGCCGATGGCCGTATCCCTGTGGACGACATGCACGGAGGCACATTTCCTGAAGATACTAGTTCACTGATCACAAAGCACCGATTTTAAGTCCATAGTTCAATGAGCTTTTGACAACTGTCCATACCCACTGGTGGCACGGTGATGAAGCACTCACCAGCTACCGAAAGGTTGGTGGTTCGAACCTAACAGCCACTCCGTGTGCTGAAGATGTGGCAAAATGCTTTATTCAGTCAGAGTTTGCAGCCTTGGGCTCTGTGTCCTGGCAAGGCCGCCCCGGGTTCCTGGGCCCGTGCTACTGGGAGCTGGCGAGAAACTACCTCATCCTGGACTGGGTGCCCTACATTAAGGGCAGTTTTTAAAAGGACGCCCTGCAGTTTCCTTCCGATTGTGACCAGTGGGGCTGATTGCTCCTCTCTCAGCACCCGCTGCGTCGGATCCGCCCAATGCAGATAAGCGCAACTGCTGCCCAGTAGAGGCGGTTGGGCAGGAAGGGAACCCACAATGCAACGCAAGACGTTTGGTTCCTGAAAATAACTGTGGTCTTAATGCCCATTACCACATTAAAGCGCATTCTAAACCCCCCTCACCCCCACCTCCCCAAAATGACCGGCTTGGAAACCTTATGAGGCAGTGCAACTCTATTAGCCTATGGATTTGTTATCCGTCAGAATGGACTGGACGGCAATGGGTTGGGTTGCGGTTTTGACATACATCCTTATCATCACTGAAACAAGCATTTATACTAGTCCTGAAAGTCCCCTCCCGCGCTTTCCCTGTCGATTACTCCCTCCTCCCCGAACCAGAAACCCTCATTGTTCTGATTTTCATTGCCATAGATGGATTTTGCTGTAGTAAGGCAGACTGGTGCACAATGGGTTAAGCATTGGGCCGGTAGCGGTAAGGTTGGTGGTTCAAACTCATCAGCTGTTTCATGGGAGAACCGGCTTACTACGTAACTTGGAAACCGCTCGAGACACTGAGATTGGCCTTTCAGTTTGGATTGTTGTTAGGTGCGTGGATTTTTAACTCATAGGGACCCCACGTGACAGGGAGGAAGTACCTTCTAGGGCTTTCTGCATTGTCATTTTCATGGAAGCAGTGTACTAGATCTTTCTCCTGCAGAGCTGCTGAGTGGGTTGGAACCTTTGGCTATCTATAGCTTTACTTATTCAGAGTCACCAGAGTTCCTTTAGTTACTTGTTTGGCTCCTTTTGCATAGCATGGTATCTTTGAGATTCATAAATGCTGTGTGGTCCCCACAGCCTTATCTGTGAAGGACAGTACTGCCCCTGCTTTACAGATGAGGAGTCTGGGACTCAGAAAACGTAGAGCTCAGAGGCAAGGTCACTCAACTAGTAGATGGCTGCACTGGGACTGGGGTTCAGATTCCAGTCATGTAAGTCTACTTGTCTTTTCACCTCATGTAGGCGACACCTGGATATTATATTTTAATGTGCTCTCCATGGAACAACAGCATCTGCATTCCCTAGAAGTTTGTTAGATGTGCTGAACCTTTGACCCTTTTCCAGAACTCTTGAATCAGAATCTACATGTTTTATTAGATTTCTAGAGGATTCCTGGTTTAAGAAATTAACCAGGGCACCCCCCCCCCCACTAGACTGACTGAATTGTGGGTTAAACCCACCAGGAGAATTGCTAACCAAGCCAAATCAAACCAAACCCATGCTCAGCATTTTGTTAACATCTTTAAAGAATAATGCATGCCCTCTTTGACTTAACAGTGCCATTTCAAAGAATTTATTCTATCAATACATTCCAAAGGTTCTGTCTTAGCAAAAGTCTGGCATGAACCTCAATGCCCTTTAATGGGTTAGACAATTATGGCGCATCCATGCAGTGGCGTTACTATACAGTTGAAAAAGGAACAGTGTATTATCGTTTATTTTTTAAAAAGGAAGAAGAATGCAAATTTTATTGCTTGCATGGATTTCTGGACACACACTCAAATAATGATACTGACTACCTGTGGAAGATCAGGGAGTAGGCTCTGGGCAAATGGAGACAGAAATGGGAGGGGATTTCATGTGTGTGTGTGTGTGTGTGTGTGTGTGTGTGAACAATTTATTGTGATTTAGGTGAACTCTTACAGAGCACATTAGTTTCTCATTCACCAAGTTATACACATTTTGTTTCTTGGCATTAGTTGCAATCTCTTCAAAATAACACTTATTTTCCAACTTCCTCCCGGGGCTCCCCATATCCATTTGTTCATCTCTCCTGATCCTTCCTATCGTTGAACCTTGTTTCTGGATAAACACTACCCCTTTGGTCTCACATATTTGGTTGTGCTGAGGTCTACCTTCCTTAGGGGTGTTACTGTTCACCTTATAGGCCTGCGTATTGTTTGGCTGGAAGTTGATCCCTGGGAGTGGGTTCAGTTCAAGGTTTGAAGGGTGTTTAAGGGCCATAGTCCCAGGGGTTCCACCAGTCTCTATCAAACTGGTTAAGTCTGGTGTTTTAAAAAATGATTTTGAAATTTGTTCTACATTTTCCCCATGCTGTCTAGGAACTTGGATTGTGATCTTGATCAGAGAAGTTGGCACTGGTAGCCAGGTATTCCCTGTTTCTTCTGGTCTCAGGCTATGGTTCCTTGAATCCTTTATTTTCTTCACTCTTCTTTGTACCTGATGGAAGGAGAGCAATAGTTGCCTCTTCCATGGCTACCTGCAAGCTGTTAAGACTCCAGTAGCTAGTCATTAAAGTAGTGTGACGAACATTGCCTATATTGACTGTGTTAATGACAGTTGAGTTACAGTAAATGTCCCAAGAGACTATGGATCTAAGCCCAGTGACTCAGTCCTTCTAGGCATTTTGTAATGGCTAAGAAGTGTTCCTACCTTTGTCCCCTGTATACTCCATGGATGCATTTGTAGCACCTGCAAACAGGCATGTAGAAATATCTTTTGACTGGGTGAGCGTTACTCCCACGAGTCCTTATTGAAGGACTGGCAGTTGAATTTTCACTTGGTTCTGAGATAAGCCTATCATGGAATCGTTTTTTGTTTTGGTGACTTACCTAAACATTTCCTGTAATCTGTTCCCTCCCATTGTCCCTTTAGAGAGTTTTTTATATTCTGACCAGGGTAGTAAGATTTGAAAATTACTATCAACACACACACATCCATTGAGCTTGCTTTTACATTCCAGAGTTGAAAATAACACAGAAATGGGAAGGTGTGCATAGCCTTGGTTCAATTTCAGCATTAGGAATTTGGACATATGCTCTACCTGGGTAGTTGAATAATTAAATAAGAAATCAGGTCTTCAGAAGATCAAAAAAAGACTCAATAAAACAAGTGCTAAATGAAAGTGCCACAGTACAATGAATAGAGTCAAGCTTCAAGTTACTGAAAACCACAGACAATTTATATCAATTTGGGCAAAGCAGCTAGTACTGAGTATATTATCAAGCAAATGGCAATTATGAGCACCTGGAGTTGAACCTGAAGAGGCTCTCTGGGAGCCTATAAAAGATGCGTGAGTAACCCCAACAGAGACTCAAGGGAACTGGGTGTTCATGCTCCAACTCTCCTACCTGTTGAAGGCTGCTCCCAGGGACACTGATTTTCTGGGGAGTCAAGTCGGCCTTACTTAAACATATTAGCAGCCAAAAGGGAAGCGTTTGGTGTGCAGGTGAAGTGCTGACAGCCTCTGCTGGAAGATTACAGCAGGTTCTTTAGCTTCCATTTTCTATTTTTTAAAATAGGGGCATAACAATGGCTGCTTTCATACAGGGTTTTGTGAGGATTAAATGACATAATCCAGAATAACTGATGTACGTTACACATATTAATAAATATTGAGTAGCATAGGAACTCTGCATTGCTGCTGAGTGAGTGGTGTTTGTGGTAGGAAGTGGCAGGGCCACTTCCCAGTCAGTCTCACTACTGCAGTGGGCTTCTGGTGACCACAGAGAAGATCTCCTCATCTTCAGAATGGATGGTCTGCTGGTAGGTTAAAGGGAGGGATAGACTGAAGACTCCTAGTTCATTTGCTGCTTCCAGTGACCCTGGAAATGTTACCCCTATATCCATGCACTGTCATGTGAGCAAAAATGGAAACTTTGTTACTACAGCCTTAAAGGAGAGGGTGTATTTATTCATCTTAGAAAAAATTCATGCTGATTGTGTTATCAACATATATGAAATATTGGAAGCTGTCCAACTCTTCTTACATGTCCAATTTTCAGGTATGAAAACGAGTGTGAATGTCAATTGCTGCAGAAAGAAATGCTTGAACGGCTTAACAAGGTGAGTTGAACATGTCCTCAACCTCAAAACCTCCAAACCAAATTCATTCCCATCAAACTAATTCACACTCCTATCACCCCACAGGACAGGCTTGAATTGCCCCTGTGGGTTTTTCAGACTGGAATTCTTAACCTGAGTAGAAAGCTCCATCTATTTTCTGTGGTGCAGCTGGTGGTTTTGAACTGCTGAACCTGTGGTTAGCAGCCCAACTCATAACCCATTAAGTTACTAAGGCTCCCTATGTCTTGGACTTTTTTTTTTTAACATTTTATTAGGGGCTCATACAACTGTTATCCCAATCCATACACACATCCATTGTGTAAAGCGCATTTGTACATCGTTTCTCAAAACATTTTCTCTCCATTTAATATGTCTTGGACTTATGTAGGTTAATTATAGTGATGAACTAAGTATCTGAACCAATTGTTTATTATACATCCTCTTTATATGACTTTAGAATTCACTGGTTTCTCTTAATTTCTTAATTTCAACTAAATCTTTGTGTGTGAACACACATATCCATGCACAGATACATGATGTTATGGATTGAATTGTGTTTTCAACCACCCTCTCCCAAAATATCTGTCTAGTTGGCAGGCCACGATTTTCAGTATTGTATGGTTTTCCCGTTTTGGGTGATCTGAGTATCCTCCATTATAGGATGTGTTGTGGATCTTAGCCTCGGCCTGTGTTATGGTCCTATTTGAACATTAGCTGTCCATTATATTAATGAGGCAGGATTAGGCCATTTAAATGAGAATTAGGTTGTAGGTAGGATTACGGTGGGATGTATCTTGAGTAACTGCTTTTTACTACCTGACAAAAGATAAAGTGAGGGACCTAGTACTACCAAGAATGAGCAAGGAACTAAGCATGTCCTTTGTAACCAGGAGCCCTGTACTGAGAACCTCCTAGACCCCAGGGAAGATGGATGGCAGGACACATGGGAATCTCCAAGGGACACCAGGCTCAAAGATATTGTTAAGAGACTTCCTCTAGAGGCAACAGATGGTGAAAAAAAAAGTCTTGTCCTAGAGCTGTACCCTGAATTTGGATGTCTTGTTTCCTAAACGGTCAGATAATGGACTTCTGTTTGTCAAAGCTATCCACTTGTGGTATTTCTGTGATGGCAGCACTAGATAACAAAGATACATGCCTGCGTGATAGAAATAGACAGTATATATTGTTTGGAGCAATGATGTGTCAGTGGCAGAATTCTCACCATCCATGCGGGAGACCTGGGCATGAATCTCAGTCAATGCACCCCATATGCAGCCACCATCTCTTTATCAGTGGAAGCTGTTATTGCTATGATGCTGAACAGGTTCCAGCAGAGCTTCTGGACCGAAATGGACTAGAAAGAAAGACCTGGTGATCCAATTCTAAAAATCAGGCAATGAAGATGCAATGGGTCACAGTTGTGCTCTCCCCAACGGATCATGGGGATGGTGTGTGACTGCGCAATGCTTAGTTCCATTGTATCTGGGGTCACATGCATTAGGGGTACCCAAACATGCAAGCAGTACAATGGTCAACTGTTACTTACCATTCAGACACAGTGGTTTGGGCAGTAGTTATTTGAATGCACTGATTGTCTTGGGATTGCTTTTCAGTGGGAAAACTCTCAAGAGAACAGAGGGGAAAAAATTCCATTTCCTTTCAAGCTTCTCTCTCATGGATCGTGAAATTAGCCACATAGGAACTATTAAGATTCTTGCCAATGACCCCACATGCGTGTGGAGTTTCTTTTGCAGGAGCAGTTTCCGTCTTTAGATCCTTCATCATTTTGATTAGGTTTGTTTTGTTTTGTTTTAGCCTGGACTATAAATAATTCTGGACAATAGAAACTAGACAAAACATGACTGGAAATTAGCTGTAAACATAACCCGTTAAAAAAATCATTTCAACAGGGAATCCAGGGCGGATGAGCCCTCCAGGACCAGTGGTGTGAGTGGCGAAACAGGGAGGGTAGAGGGAGAGTGGGTAGGAAAGAGGGAACCGATTACAGGGAACTATATGTGACTCCTCCCTGGGAGACGGACAACAGAAAAGTGGGTGAAGGGAGACATCAGACAGGGCAAGATATGACAAAATACAAATTTATAAACTATCAAGGGCTCATGAGGGAGGGGGTAGCAGGGAAGGAGGGGAAAAATGAGGACCTAATGCCGGGGGTTTAAGTGGAGAGGAAATGTTTTGAGAATGATGAGGGCAATGAATGTACAAATGCGCTTTACACAATTGATGTGTGTATGGATTGTGATAAGAGTTGTATAAGCCCCTAATAAAATGATTTAAAAAAATCATTTCAGAGCACAAATGTTGGAATGGAAGGGCCCAGGGAGGCTAGTTAGTTGAAAGGATGTTTTATTTAGGGGACATCTACCACCCCCACATTCTCCTCATGCTTATAACCTTATCAGAATTGCTGACAGCATTCAGCATTTAGGATGCTGAAGTAATGAACCCTCACCTGCCATTCCTTTGCCTTTGAGTTCTCCACAAAGAACTGCAGGCAACCATTTTAAGCAGCAAGGGTGAGTTCAGGACATTTGCCATCCAGGGATTTTGTCCACTCTCTGATATCTCCTGCTGTCCTGACAGTTGGTGGGAAAGTCAGAACTATAATCTAGGAAAACCAATTTTAGCTTTGTTTTTTTACCTACTGCATGGTGCTTCTGTGTTCTCTGTCTGGGTGAGCATATTATGTAATGTCCAAACCAGGACCCTTGTTGAAAGGCGTGCTCTGTCAGTAGCTACACAGGTGGTTGAAATGAGCTGGGACTGCCTCTGGAGAACCCCCATATATGAGCCCTGTCTTGGGTAAATTATTTCTCACCACTTGTCTGCCAGTTTGTTGGACTGTGGTAGCTTGTGTGATCATGTGATGCTGGCAGCTTTGTCAGTGGCATTTCAAATCCAGCAGAGACATCCAAACAGGTTTCCACAAAGCTTCCAAACTAAGAACACACAGTGAAGAAGTACTCAGCTCCCTATTTCGGAGGAAGGAGTGCTGGGAATCCTTCTGCATAGCTTCAAAACATTGTCAGATACCGAAGACCTGAGGAATGGAAACACAACATTGGCGGAGATAGTACCAGAGGATGGGCCCCTGTTGTTCAAGGACATTGGGTATGTGACTGGAGAGGAGCTGATTCCTCAGAGTGGAGTCCATCATGTTGATGTGAGTCAGGTAAAGCCTACAGGAGGTAAAGCTTTGGGGAACTTCATTTGATGATGGGCCGTGACTCAAGGTAAGGTGAAACACCTGCAAGCATCTGCTAATAATGGAAACACGTGAAACATGTGAAACGTGTGACATACAAATCTAGGAAAATTGAAGTCATAAAAAATGAAGTAGAATGCGTAAAGATCAATATCCTAGGCATTAGTGAACTGAAATGGACTGATACTAGCCATTTTGAATCAGAAAATCAAATGATTTACTGTGCACCAGGGGCTGACTATGGAGCAGAACATCAATTGCTCATACCTAAGTTCAGGTTGAAGCTGAAGAAAATGAACAAGTCCACGAGAGCCAAAATATGACCATGCCCTATCTCACTTGAATTTTGATACCATCTCAAGAACATTGAACACTAATGACAGAAAAGCAAAAGGCCATTAAAAGAAAGCAAAGAAAAAAAGATAAAAGTGGATGTGAGAATGCATTCTGAAACGTGCTTTTAATCATAGAGTAGCTAAGGCAAATGGAAGAAATGGTGAAGCCAAAGAGCTGAATAGAACATTTCAAAGGGCAGTTCGAGAAGACAAATCCAAATATTATAATGAAATGTGCAAAGATCTAGAATTAGAAAATCCAAAGGGCAGAACATATTCAGCATATGTTATCAGGGGCCCTCAAACTTCTTCAACAGGGGGCCAGTTCACTGTCCCTCAGACCCATTGGAGGGCCGGACTATAGTTTAAAAAAATCTATGAGCAAATTCCTATGCACACTGCTCATATCTTATTTTGAAGTAAAAAAATAAAATGGGCAAAAACATCCAGC